CTGATAATCTCTTCAAATTAGATGTCCAATAAGGTCTATAAAAGTTTTCAATGAGAACCCTTAGTTGTTCACTTTAATCCTTTGATATGTGCCAACAGCGGTTTAGCGACATGTATTTTCCTTTTCTTGACCACGTCAATACATTAATGCGTCCATGTTGGCTTGAAATCGGTCAGCAAATGGAACGATGGAACCCACAAAGAAATGGCTTTTCGCTTACTCGTAGCTTACCGGATTATCGTTCAATGTGAGTTGCGATATGATCACTTTAGGTGGCAACTCGTGAATTTGCGACAACATGACAATTTACAACTTCCACCATCTATGCGACTGACTGTTGCGACAAATTTTATTTAAGCCTGCAGATTAAAGGGCATTTTTCGAAATGCTTCTTTAATTCAGCACAGTACACAGTACAGCACTCATTCGCTAAATTAAGAAGTCAGCTCAATTGGTTGTGTGCGACCTCTCCATCAATGGGAGCAACTTGTTGACAATATAGCCATACACAATGTCTAGTGCCACATCGTGGGCCTCGTGCATGTCGATAAGGTCCCTCACAGTAGTTGCTGAATGTTCGTCGTTGTCGACGGACTTCAGGTGCTCCAGGATGTCATCCTCACTAAAGAGAAGTCCACGGGGTATGTAGTGTAAATGACGATGACCTACGTTGGCATTGGCCCGTTCCCAGTGACCAGACACAATACTCTACGCAGCACTAACAACACACTCCATATATGTATGGACACACATGTATTTGCGTATTCACTTACCTGTAATTTAGCGGGTAACATAATCCACAGTCCAGTGCATGCACTTTATTCAGTGACGCGAATGTCGAGTTACTCTGGAATACGTTATGCGCTACAACGTGTCCTCATCACATCAGCTAATTAGCCTACTTATCCATATTCGATTAATCTTGTTTGCAAGTTGTCTTAGGGTGAAGGAGCTCCTTCAAAATGATTGTGTTAGGAAGCATTTTGACCAGCATAGTGGACAGATCATGTTGGCTTAAATTGTGAACGAAGTAAAGGCTATCGTGGAACCCTTAGAAGGTGACACAGTTTGCCAACTGCCACCTAGGGCTGTGGAGACAGAAAGACAGTGGTAATGCAACAGCTAACTGCTGCACCAATTCTACCTTTTGAACCTGCTTGCTATGCCAATCGAAGGGAAGATTCGACATCTACAACCACACTCCATCACGAATTTAAGCATTCACTTCACTTGTAATTTAATAGTTAAAATAATTCACGGCCTAGTGCATGTGCATTAGTCAGTGACGTGAATGGGTAGTTACTCGTGCAATATGCTTTGCTTTACACGATGGAAAGTAATGATCAAATCACGCTTAGTTGTCCTTGAAAGGCTGTCATAAATTTCAAGAATAAAGCTGCACGGTCGGCCAATACTGAAATTTGCCATTATGTTTGTCATTGTTACCACTACACGCTACTTTACTTTCACTTTTGCAGTCACTTTAAATCAGAAAGCACTTCTAATGGTTATTCAGTACGGCCTCATCCTGCTACCTTAAATATTATCTCCTACTCTACGTCTCAGCATATGCATACAAATTGCAATAGATATTTGTCAATTTTGCACAGATGGGTGAGACCCTATTGCAGATGACGCCTCCGGTGTGCATCTCACTGTATTGCACTGAAATATGTGTATCACCTTATATCACACACCTGTCTGTGAGTAGCAGTGCATTTCAAACAGTAAAGATGTGAAACAGTAAAGCAATCTACTTCAGTTTTGTATGCAATGTCCTCGCAAAAAAACAGGAAACTGTCAAGGCCTTGCTGCATGAATATAGGGTTAACGGATAAAATTTTGCCTTACATCACTCTAACATTGATATGGCAAGTGCTTCGATACTATACAAAGTTTCAACTTTGACAAACTGACCATCGTTTTGTAATTTAGCTGATTAAATGAAACTACAATTTCCAACACCCTTTAATTGCAAGACAGTCGTTTCCAGTAATTAGCACAATCTCTGCTGGACCCACCAGCATAAATATTACACGTGAATTGCTCAGTTTATGAGGAAAGATTCCACTCAACATTGTCATCAAGGTGTGCTTGATCTCGGAAGGCAGTTTTTGTGCGCGTGTAGGAGGCGATTGAAATGTCCTCTTTCTTACCTCGTTGTTTTTCCAGGTGGTAGTTGTACCACATGTTGGTGCATTCACTATTAAACGTTCCATGAAATAAATACCCTACTAGAGACTGCTGGGAGGCCATGGAACTTACATGCGTAGGCCACTGTGTGAGATTTATTGACACTAGACGATGTTCAAAAATAAATGTCTTGACACGAATATTCCGCTGCATGGAAAGCAATATTTCTTCCAACATGAGACTCTGTTTAAAAGCTTAATACGAAGTCCAAAAATTTGCGGAAATGTTTTTACCACAGCCAAAATGCGTCATGTAATTAATGTTAAGTTTATCACTGAGTGCGGTTGATATGCACTGAATTTAGGGCAAATGTTCTAACTAAACAGGAGTTGATGTAGATGAGTGTATAGTGGACTGACAGCCGCCAAGATCAAGCTACTACAAGTGCATTAAAGTAATAATTGGTAAAATTATCGTTGCCGTGATTAATTTACATTGTGTCACAGCAAAACCTAACAGCACGAGCAGCTGCTTAGCAGTCCCCAGAACTCTTGTGAGATGTCAGCTCAAACCAAACTACGCTAATGTAAGACGAGGCAGGACCTCGTGTGGAGAGCTTTTAACTTCTCATCAAAACGTCGTGACCTGCGAATGTGCCTACTCATATTAGTCTGGAATGATGTTGACTTGATGGACCAAGGCGTACTAACACAAATGTTGATGTCATTATTGAGCTGTGGATGACTCACTCAGTGAAGCAGCATGGTTAGGAGGATTAAGTAAACACAGACGGAATCCTGAGAAGCGCTAAGCCGTCATGGATAATATTGAACCCTTGGCAATGTGACTGAACATAAAACCAGTATGAGTGTATGCCTATTTTCCTTATGGGTTTAAACGGAAATATTTGCCTCAACATTGTCAAAAAGAAATGTTTATGTGTGTAGGAAAGCCATAAATTATTCACTATGTGTAGGAGGCGAAATAAATAGCGACTTTTTTATTTCGAGTGTCTGTTCCTAGAGGTTTCCATCCCACAAGTTGCAGGATTTACTAAAAACGGTCCACGAAATAACGGAATACATTTGGTTTTTTTACTTTTCCGGGAAAAATGTTCTAAAAGAATTTATGACCCAATTACGATCTCAACGTTAGTTCATGCAACTGAAATTGCGCCACAATTTCTTGTCTGAGACAAATTCTGTTCCTCCTTTGCTGGCTTAGGTATTAAAACAAATGTGAATGCAATGTGTGGAGCCTTGATTACCCATTCTACATGTTTCGGATAGTTTGTACCTCTCCTTCGATTGCAGATTATGTTACAAAATACGTCGGTGGGCTTCTAGAGAAGATCACATTGAATGCAGTGAAAGGATGCACGAAAATCCATAAGATGTACATTTTAATGCTGCACCAAAAACGACGGTTTACATGACGTTGTCCGCAATTCTAGCATGAACTATAAACTGCGTCGGCACATCATTTTAAATTCAAATCGCAGTCGTCCGAAATTTCTTCATCTTTAAATTAACCTGTGCTTACTTCCCGGCATAATGCATGGGGACCATTTTGTAGTAGCTGTTTGTGCCTTTGATTCTGAGGACGACACAATGTATAACACTCGGTGCATTCCCTAGTATTTTCGTAGGGGAAAATGAGACGATATAAATCCTCCAAACTCTTATGGTTCACTAGCAACCTGCGCATGACCTTGTTGTTTTTTCCCACCGTGAGAATTGTCAAATGATTCCTCTTGCCTCCGCACATATAAGTAGAGTAATAAATAGTCATATTGGTCACTCAGCTTAGCATTATTTCTGGAACACGACTCAAGTCAAAACAGGATTCCTGAAATCAATGTGATTTGCTTCGTGGTGCTTATATAAGGAAATTGTCTCGAATATTCCCACGGAGAAGGAGAGAACAGGGATTGTAAAATTTTTCACTAAACGCCGAGAATCATTTGACCCAACAGCAAACAACACGGTGAGTTGATGGTGACTTTTGAATTAAATGTCAGTTGAGCGATAGAGTCTCGTGTAAGATGCTGTGCGTATCGTAAGACCTGCTCATGTGACACCCAAATATGAAACCTCTTTTGTTTTGTTGTGGTTATAGGAAAGCCATGCACTGCACGCTATGTGTGAAGTTAATAAAAATGTCAATTTTGTTATCACGGGTGTTTTTCCGAGCGGATGCAGATTCACATGCGTTTGCGATCACGAAAATAACATTCCTCTAAATGATGCGTCAGTGTTGGAGACCTGTATGTTTGATAAAAGACATTTGCTGTGGCCACTGCATACGGTCGTGTACCACGCTGGAGCTATTGAATTCAAATAGCCTAATTAGTACTCTTAGAATCCCAAGAGGATTCTAAAATCAAAGCCAACATAGGCGCAAGCGTATCGGAGACAGCTCAGCGTAGTTGCAGTAGCAGGAAAGATTTACTTTTGGCAAACGCACTTTTATTTTATAATGCATTATGGAAGATGTGATTGCAGTCTATCATTATCTTATGTTGCAGGAAAGTGATCTTGAGCATTAATTCGGCGTGGGCGTGTGTGTGTGGTACGGTCATTGAAAGCTTTTAACGCGCCGGATACATGATGCTCCATGTGTTTATATTGGAAGTATCGACGCGTTTCCCTTTAAGTGCAAAAGAACAGGTATTCAGTTGGTTAATTGACATGTTATAAATGTACGCCAATCTAAGCAGGTAGTGAAAACCTGTTCTAAAATACCCATCAGAAATAAGAATCGACTATATAACAGTGGGTTTTAGTGTGTGTTCCTTCTCTTACATCCCTGCTAAAAAGCAAAGTACCTGTAGTGCGTTTAACAAAACATGGCTAACGTTAGAGTGAATAGGGCTCTTAGCATAACCTCGGGGTTTTTCGACAGATAACATGAATTTAGAATGGCAATAGCAACTGAAACATACGATTAATGTGTGACGGTCTTTCGCATGAACAAAGATTATCGCTGCCACACCGACTAACACAGTTACTTCGCGCCAATTATAAAAAACACTTTCACTCAGCAGCATCTATGTGGAAGGAGGGGTTTTTGTGTGTTTATTTGAAGAAGCAGTGAAATGCCTTCGGGTTGTGGGAGGTTGTCGACAAGTAAACTTGGTTATTCTCGATGCAATAATACTTTGAGTGGGTGTCGCGTATTGTGGCATTCACGAAGACATTTTCAAGAAATGGATGAAACACATGATTATAATGGCGTGGTGTTGGTTTTCTGGGTTCTAAGAAATAGAATTGCAAAACTTGATTTCGAAGTGATGTGCACAACTTCGAAGCGCCGCAATTTCTGATTTATGGCAAATGGCAGTGTTTATTGTTTAGTTTATGGATTAAAACAGAAATGACAGGAATTGAAGTTATGTTCATCTGTCAAAAAAGCATGTGTAAAAAATTTTGTTTATCTGCATTAATTGTAGGTTTCATCTAATGTTGAAGCCACGTAGCTGTGGGAGAACGTGCATTGAACGTACCAAAGGAAAAAAGGCCAGCGGAGGTGAAATGCATTCTTAAATTCCGTTCAAGTCAAGGATAGTTTAGACTAAGTAAAAATGTTCATTTTAGCATGAACTAGCAAACTGCAAATCATTATAAGTTCACACCGCATTTTTCAATGCGCAAAGACAGAT